GAGGAACTGAGCAGATGTTTGTTCTCCCAGGATGTTTCTTGTCCTGGAGAATCACAGCATCACCGGATCACTGAAGTCTCAGTTGCGACCGGAGGCCAAACTGGAGTTATTCTGTAGCTGGGCTGTAGGCAAGAGAACTAGGCTAACCAAATGATTTTTCCCTAGAATTATGTAGCATTGCTCCCAACACCTATCCTCCACTGCAATGAGGTTAGGGCCAATGTGATGGATTTCTGGCCTGTGGAAGAAAGAATCCTAAGGCAGGGGGCCTGAAAGTTTCTTGGTTAAAGCATCCTTAGGACTTCAATCATTTTTTCATAGTGCCTGATGCCAAAAGAAATATCTAACAGTTCTATTTGGTAGTTACTGTAGTTCCAAACATAGTAGCCATAGTTTATGCTGCATCTTTCACTGTGTTATCTTCAAAATATTCAAATGTCCTAGGGAGCCCCCATCAGTTCTCTGCACTGTCCTAGAATATTTTGGCTCCCAGTTGGGACTTCTCCAAGCTGTTTCTAGGCCAATGTTTGTGTCTGACCTTGGAGGTTGCATATTCTAAACAGCATGGCTACAAAATGTTGGAAGACTGCCTGGGAATAAAGTTTTATTGAGTTAACCAGTTGAGACCTGTTGGCTTTTCTGTGGGTAGCATTGCCTTCTCTAACTTTGTACTGTGCAATATGGCTATGAATAACTGAGAATGCAAATATGCCACATTTCAAAATTTAAAAAACTGACAGTGAAGCATTTTTTCATTAAACACTACTTTATTGTTTTAACAAAACTACAATTCACTTTAACTATTGTATTGCAGAGGACACTGTTGTACTATAACTTATATAGGAACGTGCATTATTTTTAGTGTCACATGTAAACACACTACCAATCTCTAGTCAGTTTCAAAGACTGATTCAGGTGACTTTTTATGCATGGATGAAATATCACGATAGGTCTACTTGGCTATATTATGCAAATAGCACAAGAGTATACCTAAGCAGACAGCAAAGTCACACTGTTACATAAATCATAATCATAAATTGATATCTATTGTCTTAGTTTTCTAGTTAAAATTTAAGAAAATATTAAAAATATAAACAAATGCATAATACTGAAACAGAATTCAGTGAAGACACAGAAGCTCATACTATAACCAGTCAAGAAAAAAGGGAATAGAAGAGTATAGTGGATGTTCAATGATAAATGATAATTGCAATTTACAGCAGCAAACAAAACCACTGTTTAATTCCAGTGTGAAAGACAATAATTGAGATAATATTTAAGATTTACAGAACTTTTCAACAACTTAGTCAAAAACAGAATCCACCAAATTAGTCATATAGAATTTCTAACAAAACTTTTTAAACAAATTTTAACAGGACCTGAGTATGTAAACTTAGCCAGCTATAAAACAGCTTGGTTGTTACACATACATAAATATGTGCACACACACCCACACACACACAAATGCACACACACAACCTCAGATTGATTAAAAATAATCATGTTAGATTTCATAATTTAGAAAATTGTGAGAAAATGACATCTGAAAGCTCACTGAAACAAATATTTAAATACCATTAAACAATTTTGCTCACACAATATACATGAAGAAATCATATTTTTCCTATAGGACATATATTTCTAATAATATCAAAGATCAGTTGATTCAAAATTTGAAATTTTTCAAGTATTTTCTTTAGTTTTAGGTAAATCATGTGATATAAGACACTGCCCAAGAAAAACTTTGGATATGTTCCATCTCAAAGAAAAAACAAAATGTCAACTCCCTAAACTCAAACTGGTGACAGACACTTTTTGACAATTTTCCATCTTTCAGAGAATTTCAGCTAGATATAAAGATCAATTTCTATCACGAAGATGGAATTTTACCCATGTAAGCCAAAATATCGGGCATATCAGAATTTTAAAGCAAAAGTAACTTTTCCTTCATTGCTTTATTGAAATGTACAAGTCATGCTGAAAATATTTGAACAATAAGAGTATTACGATATACTATAACTTGGATAATATCCTGAGTTCAATCCCTGGTACCAAGAAGAAAAAACAAGGATTGTGGTGAAGATTGTACAAACTCAGTAAACTTATTAAAACTCACTGATCTATACAGCTGAAATATTTTTATCATATAAATTTATACCTCAATAAAATTTAAGAAAAGTTTATACTCCAGACCCCCAACTGATATTGAGATAAAACATCCACTTATGAAAGTTGGGAAATCTAACCCCAGGAAACAATCTGGAACAAGTCTCCTCTGAAGAGTTTTCTTTAATTCTTTCTATAAATTGTATCTTTTCAGAAAAACCCCACTAGTTTACACTAGCATATGATTCTTATATCCCATATCCCTTTCATGGCTAGAGTGCATTTGGTAGGTCCATTCAGGAATAACTACACAGATCAATCTGTCACACAGTATTTGAACTGCAGGGATTTGGGGTTGAGAGACGCACAAAGAAGAAACCAAAAACCTTACATCCAGAGGTAGCATTTCAGACCTAAGCACATTAAATTACAGCAAATATTCCTGAGACTCTGATCAGCATTAAGATCTCTTCACTGCCATAAGCCCAATGTACTATAGTTTAGTTCTGTATTTAAAGGAGCTGCCTCAAATTTCAGCTTTATTAACTTATTTCTGAACACTGTTGAGTCAGAAGGGCTCCTGTCGAGCTCCATGACCTGAGACCCAAATCTCACTCAGGGTCTTTCATTCCTTTTTCAGTTAGAAATTATTCAGACTTCACCAAGGTAATTTTGAATATTCAATACCTGTATATTCCATACTTTGTAGAACTACTTCCACACACACACAAAAAGTAAAACTGAAAACATTTTCATCAATTCTACATTCGTTCCTTGAACTTGACTAGCTATCAAATGGGGTCTCTCTTAATTTTAGCGTATATATCCTCCAGAATGTAGAGGATTAAAATACCAAATTCCTAAAATGGGAAAGTTGGGTTATACGCAGGAGAAAAGCTGAGAAGTAATGAAGTAGATTTCCCATTTAAAGGAGACAGCTGCTACCCAGATCCAGCTGAGTGCTCCGTGGATACATGAGCCCAGTTAGGGCAGCCCTTAACATTTTGTTTTTATTGTTCTTTTTTTTTTTTTTTTGGTACTGGGGATCAAACTCAGAATCTTGAGCTTGCAAGGCAGGTGCAGGCACACTGAGCTAAATCCCCAGCCCAAAATTTGGTTTTTAAGGAGAAACCTCAACATGAAATTCCCTATTTTGAAATACTGGCAACTAAACATACACACATAAATACATATATACATTTACATATAAATATCCCACCATGAAGACAACCCAAAATATGACTCGGTCTAAGAGATATGACCTCTATGATACTGAATGCTTACACTTGCAATTGCAGGAAGCTGTACTTGCTACAGGCACAAATTGTAAAACTTATAATTCTATGTTGCAAACGAAAACCTACTCGGGAAAGGTGTTTTTGGCACGTTTCTTTCCTCTACATCCAATTTATTTTTGGGGGGACTGTGATTCTTATGGCTTGAGTTAACTCAAGTTCAAGATTTTTGGATTCTTAATCCCTTTAGCCAGTAACCAAAAGTTAAAATTCGGGGTGTTCTATTTATTAGAATTTCCCTGCAAACAAACTTGTTTGAGCTTCTCTGGCTTGTTCCTATCATATTCTAGGGATGCCTGCACCAAGTGTTTAAAAAGTATTCAGCATTCTCACTAAACTAGAAGTCCAGTATACTGCAAGAGAACAGTTTTCTATCAGAGAAACAATAAAATTCCAAAAATCAAAAATGTTTAACATTTCTACAGCATCACAATTATCAGAGATAAAAATAACAAAACAAAAAACACCTTAGAAAGCATTAGTCCCATCCATTCACTCTACTGGTACAGAACCTACAATACAGAAAGGTCAAATGATTTCTACAAGGTTATATAGTATAAAGCTGGCAATCTGAGATAGTAATGTGAGTCCAGTCAAGTTCTTTCCATCTTGATACACTAGAGTGGGAGAATAGCAGGAGAGAGAAATCCTCTGAAGAAAAACACTTTTCAAATTTAAGACTGGCCTTTTAGAACCATTTCACATCTCATACTTTCTTCACTTTCCACATGGCTTTATCTACTCTATTACCATTCATCGGCAAGTGACATCCTTGAAATGAAGAGGGATGAATGGAGAAGAATTTCTCTAGCTGCTAACCCACTGAAGTTGCAGCTATTAATCAATGTTGTGGTAGTTCATATCCCAGGATTTCCAGTATTTTGAACTAAATTTCCAACCCCCTGCCCCATCTTACTTTATTTGCAGAACTACATTTTGGTGTGTGATGCCCGATGTCTGATAAGGCTTGAAATACTTTTAAATTTTTTGTCACATTCATTGCATTCATGGTCACTTGTTCTCGTATGAATTTTTACATGTTCTACAAGGATTGTGCTTCAAGTAAAGCTTGCTCCACAAAAGTCACATTCATCGAGTTTCTCTCCAGTATGAGTTCTGTAATGTTCATTAAGAGATGAACTCTGACTAAAGGTTTTCCCACAGTCTTTACATTTGTAAGGTTTCACACCAGTATGGCTTCTCATATGACGACTAAGAAGGGAATGGGCAGAGAAAGCTTTCTCACATTGGTCACATTTGTAGGGTTTTTCTCCTCTATGAAGTCTTTGATGATAATGGAGAGTTGAAAAATGGCTAAAAGTCGCACCACAGTCATTACACAAATATGGCCTTTCTCCAGTGTGAATTCTCTCATGTCGCTTAAGGCAAGAAGCTTGTCTAAAGGATTTTCCACATTCATCACATGTATATGGTTTCTCCCCCGTATGAATTCTCTGATGTTTGGACAGGGAAGAGCTATGACTGAAGGATTTCCCACAATCCTTACATTTATAAGGTTTTTCTCCAGTATGAATTCGCTGATGTTGATAAAGAGATGAACTGTCACTGAAGGGTCTCCCACAGTCTTTACACTGAAAGGGTTTTTCCCCACTATGAATTCTTTGATGTTTTGTGACATTAGCTAGGGTGATACCTTTTCCACAATCATCACATTTGTGGGGCTTTTCTACATTTTGATTTTTGTAATGTGCCTTGAGCAATGAACTACCACTATGAGTTTTTCTATATTCAAGACACGTAGAGTTTTTCTCTACAGTGTGAATTCTATGATATTTGCTGGGGGGGGCACTAAAGCAAAAGATTTTTCCACATTTACTACATTTATGAGTAGTTTCTCCAGTTTTAGTTCCCTCATCTTTATTTGAGGTTGCATCTTTTAATTTCTTCTGACATTTTACACAGGTAGAGTTTTTTATCTTAGAATGGGATGAAATTTGTGTAAATGCTACCCCACACTTACTGCACTCTGGAATTTAGCCCCCAGATGAATTTTCTTACATTTCTGATGTTCAGGAAGAGATGAAGATGAATTTAGGTCCTTTCCAGCTTCACTGTGTTTCTCTGACTTTTCAGCAGTATTCTCTCTACGGTTCAGAACAAGATCTGAATGAAAACTGAAGGGTTTCTTGCATTCATTAAACTTTCTACACTTCTTCAAGTAGGCTTTCAGATGTTTAGCTTTGTCAGAAGTCCATTTGAGTTTCTGTCCATTGGGGCTCTTTTCTGGGTCTAATACTTCACCCTTATTGTCTATCCTGTGAGTTTTCTTTTGTATTACTGATCCTTTTGAATGTCCCTGTTTGTCATGATCTTCCTTGGATTTGCCATAATGTTTCCGGAATTCTGCTATCAGGCCACAACCATCATCCTTGAAGCATTCTTCTATTATTTTCTCTAAAGTTAAATCTTCCATAAAAACATTACAGTTTTGAACAGACACCTCCAATTCCCCTTTAGGCTCACACTCTAAAAAAGAAATAACACATAGAACATTTCCTGTTTGCTAAACTGATGTATTGATACTGAAACAGAAACACAGAAAGTCATGATAAGGAATATGGCTTAGTTAGTTTTCAATTAGTGCTCTATTGAACAGGGGAAAGAAGAGCAATATAGGCAAGCAAGTTAACACAAAGGTTAGGAAAAATATTGAGGAAGATGGAAAGTATATGCTTCATAATTAACAGATGCAAGTTCTTATCCTTGTGTCAGATTTCTATTTCAAACCTATTCTTCTTACATCCAAACTTTTCTCTTCCGAAACAATGCTAATATTAATATTTACTACATACTTATCAAATGCCAGGTCCACCCCAAGCACTTTGCTTGCATTATTTTGCTTCATCTTTACCACAATCCAAGTACTAGGTCCTCCTATTATCTCTGTTTTATGGATGTGACACCTGGACACCTGAGTGTAAGCAGCTTGTCTATGGTCATATGAATTACAAGTAAGCTTGATTTTTAATCTGGTCTAACACCAAAGCCCATGCTTTTGATCCCTATACCATATGTCTTCTTCTCAAAGCAGACAAAGCACTAATTTTATACAAAATGTTTATCATATTACAATTATGCAATACCATGCATGCTACACTTTCAAAGGTTATCACAACCTGGCCCATTCAACTATAAGGATCCTCCAATCTGGCATACATTTCTGGTCCTTCCTACATTGCTGCACTTTTGCTCCTATTCTTTTGGTCTTAAAACTTCATACTACCTAGTATTGAATTTTGCAGCACCTTCAGTATCACATATAAATTTGACAGGGGCTAGGCTTCATGTCCCACGGTCTCCAAGAAGCTTTCTCCAGTACTGTACTCTGATTGTGCTCTTATCAGATCTTTGAATTCATTTACTAAGCATATAATTCATCCTGATTTTTCATCACAAGGTCACATCATTTTCATAAATTGATTTTAAACATAACTATAAAATACAAACTCACTCACAATCCTATTACCCAGAAGTTATCTGAATGTTCTTTTAGAAAATGTTCAGTATACTTTTGAATAGAAAACTGTACGTGTATTCTTACTGTTTTTCTTTTATAACTATTTTCCATCTTATCCATAATTCAACATAAAAATGATTTAATCAATCATTAGATATACTTTAGTTATTCCCTTAACCAACCTTTCTAACCTACTTACTGTTCTTTATTAATTTGCATTAGCCTTTTTGTTTGGCAACAAGGTCTCTCTATGTAGTTCAGGCTGACCATGAACTCATGGTGATTTTCCAAGTGCTGGGATTACATGCATGCACCATTACACCCGGCTGATTTGCATTAGCTTTGTAAAATTATGGCTACTGACTCAGCTTTTCAAAAATTTTTTGTGCAATCTTGTAAATGACTTTTTAAAGAACTTATACATCTACAAGCTGTTTCCTCAAAATAACCATCTTGGGCAAGGGATATATTTTATACCAATGATTTTATAGCTGAGGCAGGAGGATTGCTAAGAGCAAGAGGCCAGCTTGAACTATGTGGCAAATTCAGGGCCAGCCCAGTCTATACAGTGGGACCCAGTGTCAAAAAACCAAAAACGACTCTTCCTCACCAACATTTCTTCCTTCTCTTTCTCATTCACAAGCATCAGACCTGCATCATGTTCTTGTTTTGTTTTGGTTGTTATTTTTTTTTTTGGTACTGGGGATCAAACTCGGGTCCTTGAGTTTGCAAGGCAGGCAGCAGAACAATTTAGCTAAATCCCCGGCCCCTTACATCATGTTCTTATAGCTCTTCCAGCTTCTCCCAAGTCCCTCCCCATTTGTCCTCCTGAAATCTGCCCCAATAAATCTCCTGCACAGTTAATCATGTCTTGGCATGTACTTCTCAAAGGACCCAAAACCAAGTCTCTCCCGTTAAAAAAATATTTCAAGAGCTGGTCGGTGTAGCACATGCCTGTAATCTCAGAACCTGGGAGGCTGAGGCAGGAGGATTGCCATTGGTTTGAGGTCAGCCATGGTTATATATTGAGTTCAAAGCCAACCTCAACTACATAACAAGACCCTGTTTAAAAAAAAATCCAGTTGGTGCATTGCTGGCACATCTGTAATCCTAGCTACTCCTGAGGCTGAGGCAGGAGGATCACAAGTCTGAGGCTGGCCCAGATAATTTAGTAGACTCTCTCAAAATTAAATTGTATTCAATTTTAAAAATAAAATAAGGGCTGAGGATGTAGCTCAGTGGAAGAATACTTGGTCAGCATTCCCAAGGCCCTGAGTTCAATTTGCAGTATAAAGAAAAAAAAATCCAGAAGGCAAGTGATCTCTTCTAATCACCCTTATATTTTTGCATCAGGCCTGCCCAACATGTTAAAGGCTCTTTCCAATGTACTTGGTAAACAACTCTTTTTATTTCCTTCATCTCTCCAACTTACCTGGCCTGGAGTCTTTTGAGAGTTCTTTTTCTATTAGTCTTGATAATTCAACCCATTTTAGCTGAGAAATCAAATCTAATTTGGAAACTGGAAAGCCTGTTCATACAGAACAGAATGGAAAATGGTTATGCACCGAATAAGACATTTCAGCATGCATGTATAGCACTGGGCTGTCCAGGCAAGAAAAAAGATGCTATCAAACGCACAGAGTTCAACATTGGAATCAGATGAGGAAATGGGGGAAATGAGGCTCCACACTTCCAAATACTGAAGCAAAGACCTTTTCTTGGAGGAAACATCACAAAGAATATAGTTTTTAGAATCCACTTATAAGATCAGTCATATCAATGTGAAATATGGAGAAAAGGGGCAAAAGGGAAAGGGAAGTGGGAGAGATAGGGGATAGAAAAGAAGTGAATAGAAGTAACATGAGAAAATGAAAAAATGGAAACAAAGTCTTTATAAATGAGGAGGGATGGAGGGGTTGAAGGGAGGGCAGGGGAAGGGGGAAAAATAAGCACCAAGAGAGATTATGTAAAGATGCAAATTTCCAATATAAATTTCATTATATTGTATATCTAAAATGTACCAATAAAATAAAATTTAAAAAAAAGATCAGTCATATCAGTTCCTGGATGGCCAGCTAAAACAAAGTATGGGGGAGGGAGACAGAGAGGGAGAGTTTTCACATATCACCTATATTTCAGTAACAGAGGACAGAAAGATACCCAGCTTAGTTGCTAGACCATCAGGAAAGGATATCTTTACCCAAAAATTCTAGGTTCCTTAGGTTTTCCTGTAGCACGTCCTTATACAGCTCTTTCTGAAAAGGCTCCAGCTTCCTCCACTCTCTTCTAGAAAAGGTGATGGCCACATCTTTGAACACTATGGATTCCTAGAACATCAAACACAGTCCTTTTGCTTTATATCACTCCCAAACAGATCCAAAGGATGCAGAAAAGTGGTTAGGATATAAACTAGCAGTTTTGATAGTATTCAGGTTTTAAATCATTCTAAAGTAAGCTATGGAGTAGCTGTTATATGACTATTAGAAGTGATGCAGAATAAGGATATTGAGTAAACTCTGCCTCTCCCATTCAGTCCCTGGTGTTAAATACTGTACATGTATGCTAACCCTAACCCTGACACTAAATTTAACCCTAACACACTAATTTCTAGGATTAAAAAGAAAATCAGAAATGAAGGGTATGATGTATATCCCAAAACACCAAATTTTCAGGATTAATATAAGGTAACTATTTATATCACCAAATATCTTCCATATTTTAACTTCCAGTTTATGTACAGCAATTATCCTCTGTGTAGAGTAACATACATGTGGAGATACTCCATATTTACAAACAAGCAAACTGACTCATTCCATTTTCTATTGCATACTCTGCATGAAATTTTGACAGGCAGTATAACAGTACTATTAGCACCTATAGTGGCTTCCTATGGATGTAATATCACAAACAAATTACCATAACCTCAGGGGGTTAAAACACTAGAAATGTATTCTCTCATAGCTCTGGAGGCCAGAAAGAGGAGATCAAGGTGTTTGCAGGGTATTCCCTTCAGATTCTCTCAAGAAGTCAGTTCCTGGCCTCTTGCCGCTTCTGGTGGCTGCCAGTACTCCTTGGCTTGTAGCCCTGTCACTTCAAATTGCCTCCCTCTTCCCATCATCATCTCCAATTTGTGTATTCAAATTTTCTCTGCCTCCAATAAGGACATTTGTGAATTCCTTAACCAAAAACTCTTAATTCAATCACACCTATAAAGATCCTTCTTCCAAATAAAGTAACATTCACAAGTGCCAGGGAGTAGGATGTTCTGAAGTCATTATTGGACTAATATAGCACTATTATTCATTTATCAATAATTTTTTCCTATTTAGTAATTAATAGTATATAGAAAACACATTGATTTGTAACCAGCGACCTTTCCCAGATATTATATTAGTTTCAGTACTTGCTCAGTTGATTCTGTGAGGTTTTCCAAATGGACAATAATATTGTCTGGAGTGTAAATTTGCTTCTTTCATACTATGACATTGGCTAAAATGTTCAGAAAATATTGATTAATAGCACTATTTCCTTGTCATTTTACTGACACTGTAAAGACTGATTTTTATTTTACACTGTCTAGCTGGAGATCTTCTTTATCATAGTAACAATACTATTTGTACCTAATTTTACTAGGAGTAACTGGTGAGTTTTAGGAAACGTTCATGTTTAGTGCCAGAGTTATGAAACTGTGATCTCACATAAATAGCATGTGAAAACGCACTGTGAATTCCTCGTATTATTTTGTTTACTTATACTACTAAAAGTTTAGTTAAGTGTCCATTTAAGAATGAAAACCAGTGAAAGGAAACTTACACATGACTCAGTATTTGGAACCAGTTTATCTTCTTCTGAGTTATCCTCTTGGTAAACAGCAGAATCCTGAGCTCCTGGATCTAGGAAAGGGGGAAAAAAATCAGTCCAGCTTTCAAATCCAGTCTTCAGACTAAAAAAATTTTTTTTCAGACTAAAAAATCTTTATATACGGTACATGTTACTGAGATATATAGTGGGGGAAAAAGTTTCTCCTACTATATAATAGAACTCTGCTGTGATTCCATATGTGTATCAAGGGGTTCCCCACACCAACCATGCAATTATGCAATGCACTCTCCAGTGGATACCCACTTGGTGTCCTCCAATTTAATTCTGATGCTATCTGCAGATAACATCACATTTACAGGCTGAAGTCGGTCCCACAATACTGCGGCCCCCCTACCCCCTTTCAGCCACCAATCTTGGCCTCTGGTACCTCTGACACCCACAAATCAGAGTTCCTCCAAACTTCTCCTTGGGTTGGAAACATTCTAATGGCTCAAAGAACTCAGAAAAAAATATTTTACTGACATTTACCCATTATTACAAAACATACAGGTGAACAGCCAGATGGGATGGATGAATAGGGCAAATCACACAGGAAGAGGTCCCCAGCTTTCTGAAATTGGCTAAGGCCTAGACACACTGGGACATAAACTCTTTCCATGCCCTTTTCAGGTACACCAACCTCCATTAACTTTCATGTGTTCAGCTGTCTGGAAGTTCTCAAACCCTATCCTTTTGGAGTTTTCAGGACGTAGACATGATTGATTTCAGCCCCTCCCCACCTTCAGCAGTGGAAGGCAAGGCTTAAGAGTTCCAACCCTCTAAGTGCAGGTTGGTTCCCTTAGCAACCAGCCCCTAAATGGTGGTTATTTAAGGGCTTTCCAAACATCAGGTGCCAGGTATGGTGGCACATGCCTGTAATCCCAGAACTCAGGAGGCTGAGAGAGGAGGATCACTGTGACGTCAAGGCCAGTGTGGACTACCTAGTGAGACCCTGTCTCGAAAAATAAAAATCAGCTCACTAATAAGCTCAGGTACATATGAAAATGGCTCAGGAGCTGTCCTGGAACAAGTTTTAGGAGCCAAGAAGAAAGGTTATTGCTCCAGTCACTTAGGAAATTACAACATTACAGGAGCTGTGAGCCAGGACCTACAGACAAAAACTAAAATATGTATTTCATAGTATCACAATGTTTCATGTTTCTCTGGAGAAAAGGTAAGAAACAAAGTTTCCACACTATTTGAAAACAGAACAGCCAGAGATGTTTCTTATAAAAACCCAGAGTTTTTTCCCCTACCACATCAAAAAGTTCTTTCAATTCCTAGGCTCACAAAAACTAATTTCCTTCATTCAATAAACCCTTGGCTTTACAATATTTAACTTGTAATTATACAAGATATACTCAGGTAGAACAGCATTTCTCTTTCACCTCCATTGTCCGTCTGAGCACAATGCCCTGCTAAGTGTCATGCGAATGTGTTTTTTGAGTAAAGGCAGGAGCTGGTTTCAAGAACCCACTCTGCATGTTGGATCACCAGCAGCGTCTTAAGCAGTTTTATTGATTAGACAACCAGTAAAAATTAAAATTGCATAATCAAAAACCAATGAAAATGAATTTAAAGAAAATGTCCTTCTTTACTAAATGCTAGCAATCAATTCTTTATTATAGGTGGCATCCACACCATCCAATTTTGGAGAAACACCACGTTGCAGTGATGGGTAGAATTTCTTTTTCCAGGAGTTGAGATACAGGGAAGTAGTGTTTACCTCTGTATATTTATTTTGTGGTCATGCAGCTAACTGGTGTGTCTAAGATGTAGGTTTCCTGACTACTGTCTGATGCCACTGCAACACGGTGCTTTTTCAAAACTCAGCCCTCTGAGGTTGATGCCCCTATGTAAAGACTTGAGCACTCTGCAAGGTGGAACAGTTTCCTTAAATTAATCCTTCATCTTTGATTACATAATTCTAATTGTTAAATTTTAGTCTTAAGACTCCTCCTTACTAGTAAATTCCTTCCTCTGAGGAGTTTATTTCACACTTTGAAGAGATTCTCCCACTTCCTCCATCTATAAATCTCACCTTCCTTTTCTTCAAGTGTTTGTGTTAAATCCTCTACCAGCATCACCACCTCCTCACTATTCTTAGGGTGTTGGGACTTTACCCAAATCCCAATCTCCCCAGGCAAAATGGTCAGGAATTGCTCGAACACTAATAGTTCTAAAATCTGTTCTTTTGTGTGAAGGTCTGGTCTCAGCCACTGAATGCAGAGCTCCCAGAGTTGATTCAGGGTTTTCCTGGGTCCAGCCTCTTGTGAGTAACAAAAACACCTGAACTTTTGTCTGAAAGACTCTGGGTCAGCAGTGTCTCCTCTTAAGATAGCTTCTTGGTTCCCAGAAGTATTCACTCCTGGGACCTTGTTTTGCTTGCTTGTGGCCAGAATTGGATAGGCTGGGGAAATGGCTGTCATCGTGTTCAGGGGCACTACAGCTTGCCCTGCTTATCACAAGCTGGAATGTGGTCCCCTGTAGATTATTTTGAGTATCAGTACACTCCACCAAAAGGCACGATACACAGGCAAATATCAAGGTTTCCAGGGATCCAGTTTACAGTCTTGAGCAACTCTGAAAAAGAAATATAAGACATAGATAAGTGAAACAAACTGTTAATCCTGAAGACATTGGTTTGGTTCACACACACTCTTAGGAGGCTTAGATCAGCCCTAGCTCAACTACTTTATTAAAGGATAATTTTCTTCATAGGTCAAAAGCCAAGAGTTATCCACAAGTAAAGATATCCTCCAGGCAGGCAGCTACTTTAGACTTACTCCTTTTCAGAAATCTTATCAGAAAAGACTCATTGTTCCCAGGGATAGTCATAAACCTACTTAATTGATAACTCCTGCCCTCTCTCAAACTGCCACACATTTCCCACCAGTTGCTCAACTCGGAAGCCCGACTTCAAATTCGACTATCACATTTCTCTTCCTCCTTACTTTTTACATAATTTTTTAGGGGGGGTACCGGGGATCAAACTCGGGACCTCTGTCGGCAATGAGCTAAATCCCTGGCCCACTTTTTACATAACTAATAACCAAGTTCTGCAACTTTATTTTCCAAGATTCTCTCCATGCTATCTACTGAAACTGCCTGAGGAAGGCTTCTTCAATCTGGTCTCACACTGCAGGCGAAGGATTTCTTCTGATGTGCAAGTTGATTCTGTCACTCCCCTGCTTACACTCCCTCACTGGCCCACAGTCTCAGCTAAATGTCAACCACAGGGTGGCATAACCACGGAGACAGGCAGGGATGACCTCACCTCGTGCTCTCTAACCTACCCTGAGGACATTAGAGACACAAAGAAATAGCTCCCCCTTCCCAGCCTCAATGCTCTCCTAACCTTAGTATCCATCGGAGTTACTCCCCCTCCTTGGAATGCTGCATTCTTCCCTTCTCCTACCAAACTTTCATTCATTCTTTAAAGCCTCTTTTCAACTGTCACCTCTTGTGTGAAGCTCTCTTTGGTTCCCCAAATGGCCCTTTGTGCACACCCTCCCCTGTGTTGCACGCTTTCATTCACTGCACAAATGACTGAGCATGGACAATGCGCCGGGAGCTGGGCACACAGCGGGCTGGGCGGTCCAGCGGAGCCTCCGTTCTCACCAAGGGCCGAGCAAATAATAAAAGCTCGGGAAGCACAAGGGAGAGGGTGTGCGCTTCCCATCGCGATTATCATACCAACAGCAACTCATCTCAGAGCACACAGTATCCAAGTGCAGCGTCCCGTTTATTCCTGTGCCGGGTGTGAGGTGCCCACCCGGTACCTAGCGCTCTTCTGAGTTCGGTGACAAAACATACTGGGCTCCGTCTCCAGGGAGCTTACCATACAGGCTCCGTGAAAATGTGACGCACGCACAAGTGTCAGGCCGAGGAAGGGAGGAGGGGGCGGTTTTCGCTAAGGGGTTACAGTATTTGCAACGTCTGGAGGTACTTTTGCTGATCTGGACCGGCGAGAAAGATGCAGATCTAGGGATGCTGCTAAATATCGGGAAAAAGGGTCAGCCCCCCGCCCCCGCCCCCCCGTACACATACACACAAAGCAAGAAATTATCCCGCCCAACATGCCAACACTGCCCAAGTTCAGAGCGCCCAGGCACAAGCAGGGATGGAGGGAAGCCGGCTGGACCCTGCAGGAAAGCGCCCCACTCTCGAAGAAGTAGCCTCAGGGCACACCCAGATGGGTCTGCTGCTGTCCACCCGCATCTCGCCCCAGCTCTGCGCTCCAAGCCTGCGACCTGGCCACAGCTCCGAAACTAGGGTCCCAGGACAATACCTGCACCCGTCCGCAGCCAGCTCCACTGAAGTGAGCTTCCAGAAGCTCGACCCGCAACGACTGCCCGCGCAAACCCGCGGGAGCCACTGCGCCTGCGCAGAGGCTCTTACCTAGGATTCCCAAAGAGCGCTCCTCCCACTAACTCAAAGTTCTGTGCTTTCCATAGGCTTCCCCCTGTCCAGTTGCGCATGGTTAACGGAAGCGGTTGGTGGGCTCAGCTGCAGAATTATTGCTGGGCCAGAGGCCTAGAGGCCTAGAATCCTCTCAGGTTTTCAGGTCTAAGCGGTCACTACCATTTTCTGTAATCCAAAGTGGAAAAAGCCACTATAGAAGTATATTAGCAATACATTCAGTGCAAGTTGTAATTAACACTGCAACTAAACAAATGTTCATCTTCTCACACACCTGCCACCGTAATCCAAAACAAACCACTATCAAGCCTCACCTGGACTGTTGAAATAGCTTCTTGGTTTCACCTTTCTTCTCTTGTCCATTCATAGGCTAGACAGATGTTTATAACATCATACAGATTAGGTACCTCTTCTGCGTAAAAATCCTGCAAAAACTTTGCATTTCACTCAGAATAAAAATTCAGGTCTTCACAGTGGGTCTTTAGAGTGGCCTAATACAGTGAAAGTGACTCTGCCAAACATCTACGACTGGATACATTCATATAGCTAGCACCTAGATAGAGAAACAGAAGAATCACTTTACTTGTTTTCATATCCCACAATCTAGAGCCTAGTGACTAGATTCAGATGCTATGTGCTCTCTGGGTATGGCTTCTTTCATTCAACATTATGTTTATGAGATTTAACAATGTTGCTTCATGTGATTATCAATCAGTTATTGTCATCGCTAAATAATATTCCTCTTTCACCTGTCACTTAGTTTCCTGTTTTCATAACCCCTTAGCCCAGGATCTGTTGTCCTATACGGAGGTGTGGAGGAAGTATGTATTTATGTTTGTGTTTGTGTAAAGGGAAGGCTGATTTCCCTGCCTTCCTTCTGGAATCACACTACTTTAAAGAAATTGAAAAGCCAAGTTCTTACCTACTCCTCCCCACTTCATATTTTACAGAAAATAAGATCCAGCACAGGGAACAGGTTTGCCAAAGATCACTTGGTTGGTAAATTGACAGCTGACCAGCTCCAAGCCAAAGCCTTTTGGGAGGGAATACATCTCCCCCATCTCTAGAGGGAGTAGGGCAGGCTAGGAATATGACCAACAGTCCAGGGTAGATTTTTAAAAAGCTGTTGCTGTTAAATGTTGTAAAGTGTCAAGTTCTGCCTACTAGGAATATTACAGATGAAAAAGGGGCATTCCTGATTGAAGCCCTGGCTTCCCCTACTGCTGGCAGACTTTACATATCTCCTCGGGATCTTGAGGGCTCTTGTGTATCCAGTGTGGAGGCCCTGAATAATCTAAAGATCTGAGTTACTTCAAGGACAACAAATCCTCACTTCTCTGGGACTCAAGGGACTCCAGGGACTCCAGGAACCTTACAGCCAATGGGAGGCCATGATTTTCTTCCTAGGAGAACTGATCATCCCCTGGAAAAACAAAAAAACCTCTTCTTCTTGGCTATGTAGACACACAGGGAGTGGTATGTACTGGAAAGAAATAGCAAACTACCCACTAGAGAAGAAGATGAAGATATGAGCAAAGGAGCATTCAGTAGAGTCAAGACCCTGAGAGACTGAGAGGAAGCACAGGTGGAGAAATTAGCTTTAAACAATCAGAGGCAAGCCCTAGTGTTCCTTGTAATACAAGAAAAGAAGGCAAGAAATGGTATAGGTTCAGGGAGATATTTAACTTGTGCTGAGAGATCATCTACTGAGACCTCAGCAGAAATGAGGTAGCAGAATGTTGGTGAAAGTAGATTAGGTTTGAAATCGCAGCTGGGGAGAATGAGAGCTGCCCAGAAAAACACAACTATTTCCCCACAAACTTAAAGGCAATTTGAGATTAGAAGATACCAATTTATGTCATTCTCTATTTGAGCAATGAATGATTTTTCTCAAAGTAGCTCCAAAAAAGATGCAAAGAACTGGGACAGTTGGATTGATCTAACATATAAAGTTTTTTAGCATGAGTTTCACAGGAGAGCAATGAGACAAGCAGTTGAAGATGTATGAGCAAACATGTTTGAAATGATAAATGATAGAATCCAATTTGGATAAGTAAGATGAAGGTGAGAGTATGTAATATAAAAGAAGAAAGTAGCCCAGGTGCACACCTGTAATCCCAGCATGTGGGAGGCTGAGACAGGAGGATCATCATGAGTTTTGAGGCCAGTCTGGGCTATATAGTGAGTTCAAGGGCAGCCTGATATGTATAGTGAGACTCTATCTCAAAAAAGCAGAAAAGGAAAATCAAACTTTATTGATTAATGTACTTACAAAGTTAATCATATACCCACTATATGACCCAGCATCACACAGCTAGGTATTTACTCATGAAAAATGTAAACACCATATGGGGATGTTTGTGACTGTTTTATTAAAAATTGCCCCAAACTGAGACACCCACCCCACCCCCTTCACAGAGGAGGTGAGCCTCTCAGGTGCCAGCACCTCCTGACTCCCCCTTGGCTGTGGCCAGCCATTACCTGGATCTACACTGCAGAATTGCAGGGGTCATAAAGGTCATTGTTCTGAATTTGAAAAGATAGAGCAGAAGTGAACAACAGAAAGAGGGCCTCTCTGAGGACCCTTCATGAAAATTAAAGCCCACAGGAAAAGTGAAGAAAATCTCGGCAATAAAGGCACACCAGACCACCTTAGTTGGGGGAGCACAGGTGTGGACCAGAGCAGCACAGCTGCAAGCAGATTCCAGCCAGGGTTCCACCTAGACCCCAGAGGATGGGGACACACTGGCCCAAGACAAGGGCCTGCCTGGAAAAGAGCTGCACAGGCACATAAGCAACAGCCAGAGGTTCAACCTGATACCATCAGTAAGTACAGGAGAACCTAGCCAGAAGCTTGCTCACACAACAGGAACTGGGATGCACAGCCCCCAGCCAAAGGCCCTCCCAGACAACAGCTACATGGGGGCCCTAGCCAGTGGCACACCTAGATACCATCCCAAATGTGCACAGGCCCAACCAGAAGCCCACCCTGACAACAGGTCAGCTCAAGGATCCAGAAGGCCACCTTTCTGAACCCAGGAATTAGTGTACTGGTGAGCAGCAGAGAAAAGGCAGCTCTGTGGCTTGCTGAGAAATGAAGACCACTGGGTGAGCAAAAAGTTGCCTCAACAAAGGCACAGCAGGCTGCATCTGTTGAAATGAGAAGACACATAAACAAGTCTCAAAACCAGACTTCCAGATCATTTAACACAACCCCAAAGGGAAACAAAATGGAACAATCTGATACTCAATCACCTGGACTCACCTGAACTGCCAACAAAAGAGGACCTGGAAAAAATGAAATCAAAATAATTTCTCAGATAACAGGAGAGATTGTGCCCATAGTATAAGACATGGTTAATACATCTGGAGCAGACACGGATTTTAAAAAATAGAGGTTGAATGCAGAACTAGCGATTGGCCGAGAACGGCGTGGGGCTGTGGCTCAGCAGGCTGGGCCTGGCCCGAGGCCTCGGGATTCAGCTGTGGTGCGCTGCCTGAGCGTCGGCGTGTTCCATGGGCAGCAGCCAGGGCCGTGATGACAGACTACAGCGAGGAGCAACGAAACGCATTGGAGGCTCTGGCATCTATCTACCCCAACTCCTTCACAGAAACTCTGGAGTTGCCACCAGTGCTTTTCAGTATTATCAGAAAATCCACCCAGCTTCACCATCACTGTGACATCTGAGGCTGGAGAAAATGATGAAACTGTCCAGACTACCCTCAAGTTTACATACAGTGAAAAATACCCAGATGAAGCTCTTCTTTATGAAATATTTTCCCAGGAAAACCTAGAAGATAATGATGTCATAGACATTTAAAAATTATTAGCATTACAGGCTGAGGAAAATCTTGATGTGGTCATGATCTTTAGTGACAGCAGTGCAAGAAAAATTAAATGAAATAGTAGATCAGATAAAAATGAGAAGAAAGGAAGAAAAGAAACTAAAAGAAAAAGAAGCAGAAGAAGCAGATAAGCAGTTATTCCATGGCACCCCTGTTACAACTGGGAATTTCTTATGTTGGAAAGCCAAGTTTGATGCAGAACTCTTAGAAATTAAAAATAAACAGATAAAAGTAGAAGAGCAAGCAGGAAAAAATAAATTAAGTGGTAAACAGCTGTTTGAAACTGATCATAATCTTGACTCATCTGATATCCAGTTCTTGGAGGATGCTGGAAATAATGTGGAAGTAGATGAGTCTTTGTTCCAGGAACTGGATGACTTGGAGCTGGAGGATGTTGAGGATGACCCAGACTACAACCCTGCTGGCCCAGGGAGTGACTCAGAGGACTGATGCACCATCTCTGGAGAGCTCCACAGCCACAGCATCTGTGGCTGTGCTGAGAGGCATTTAATTTTCCTTTCTTTTTTTTCTAAGAAAAAATAACTCTCAGGAGAATATTCTTCTGATAACTTTCACCATTGAACTTACACTGACCATAAAACTTCAAAAAAAAAAAATAGAGAAGCTGGGGAACATGATAGAATCCCAATACAGGAAACAAATGGAATCTATAAAAAAGATGCAAACATTTCCAGGAGATTAAAAACTCCATTGAAAGTTTACACTTTGGCAGAATGAGCCAATGTGAGGATAGAATTTCAGATATAGAAGATAAGACTGCAATTAGTGACAGGAAAAGAAACATTTCTTTAAAATAGTAAGGAACCATGAGAAATCAATCCAGCAGCTGCTAGATGATGCAAAGAAGAATAACATAAGACTGATTGGAGTCAATGAA